AAATAAATATTTAAAAAAAAAAAAAAAAAGAAAAGATGGGACTCTTTGGCCCACAAAGTCACAAAAGGGTAATATTCCAAACTACTAAAGTACCTCATGACTATAGTCCTCCCTTCCTCCCTTTCTTTCTTTCTTTCTTTCTTTCTTTCTTTCTTTCTTTTTTATTTTTTAAGTCAGGGTCTCTACATAGCCCTGGCTGTCCCGGAACTTGCTATGTAATCCAAGCTGGCCTCAAACTCACAGAGATCCACCAGTTTCAGCTTCCCCAGTGCTGGGATTAAAGGCGTGTGCCTCCACCTCCTGGCTTGGCCCTTTTGTTTTAAAGGTTTTTCTTTAGTGTGTATGGTGTTGCATGCATGCATGCGTATCTGTGCACTGTTTGTGCCCAGTGCCCTCAGAGGCCAGAGAAGAGCAACAGAGCCCCTGAGCCTGGAATTAGGTTGTTGTGAGCTGCCATGTGGGTGATGGGAATTTTTTTGGAAGAGCAGCCACTTATTAACTACTGGTCCATCTCTCCAGCCCCCAGTTCTCTTCTTTCTTAGAAACTGGCCAATAATTTGGAGGTAGAGGCAGAGTGGTCAGAATTACAAACAAACCTTATTCTTCTAAATTTGGGTCCAGCCTGAGCTACATGAAACCCTGTCACAAAACAAACAGGCAAACAAAAATCCTTCAATAAGAGTTTTGTTGAAAACTATTTGGTGAAACCAGGTGGTGGTATAGCCTTTAATCCCTGCGCTTGGGAGGTGAGGCAGGGGGATCTCTGAGTTTGAGGCCAGCCTGGTCTACAGAGTGAGTTCCAGGACAGCTAAGACTACACAGAGAAACCCTGTCTCAAAACAAATGAATTTGTTTAATAAATTACGAATGGGTATGTGTCATCTAGATCCAGCATCCAGCCATGGGCCTTGGTTCTCAGCGTGAGGGTGGTTGAGCGCCAAAGGGGAAACAGCCCCAGACTACAGAGCAGGACTGAGGCTTCACAGCCGGGAATAAGGAAAGATCGTCTGACATCTAGAAGAGAAATACACAGGAGTTATCAATCTGCTGGAGCTGGGAGCTGAAATAGCTTTTCGCCAAGTCTAGCTTTGCAGTAGCAAACCCGTCAAGGGAGTGACAGAGGTGCTCAGCACGCTGGAGTAACCCCGCTACTTTCCCAAAACCCCTGCGAGACTGAGTGCCCACTCCAGCCTTCCCTGCCAACAGGAAGGACATGACAGAGAGTAGATTTTTAGCAGGTAGGCAGGCAGGCCCTGCCCCAGCCCAGACACGCTACTCAGGACTTCTGGGAGCTGGCAAAGTTGACTGCCTCGGAGCCTCCTGGACTGTCAGGTACCCAAGAGGCAGAATAACTTGCCTCTGTAGGAAGGTGAGATACACTGTAAGCAGAGGTGGTCTGTGGGGAAGTGAGAGGCCCCAGAAACAGTTCTTGAGCTGTAGCAGAAGGCACTTGGAAGGCAGAGGTTGAAGCCAGCATGTACTGCAAGACCCTGTCTCAGAAACAAGGAGCATAAGGAGGGGAGAGATTCAGAGCCCAACAGGGCCCTATTCCTGGTATTGACACAAGACAGGAGGAAGGACAAAGGCTCAGGGGCCAGGCTCCAGCGGGGAGCACCAGCAAGTAGAGGGAATGTGTGTGGACCCTGGAGTGCCTGAGACGGAGAGAGACAGCCAGGCTCATACTGAGTCCTGAGACAGAATCCGAAGGGCCACACGCACCTGATTTGTTCCTCAGGTATGGGATGCGGTATATGGCCAAAGTCCTGAAGACAGCCCTGGAGAAGAAGTTCCCCAGTGCCACAGAGAGTGAAGTCTATAAGGCAAGTATTGTGTCTCCTCTGCCACCTCCAAGACTCTCCTTTGCCCAGTTTGGCCAGTGATCCCAAGACAAGCAGGATGACAAACTATGCTGTAAACAGAGTCTGGCTCACCATGTGGAATGTGGAGCGGTGACTATCAGGGTAGCTTCTAGGACTTTCTAGAAGGTTCTCCTCTGCACTCAGGTGGTTGGGAACCTCCTGTACTACCGCTTCCTGAACCCAGCTGTGGTAGCGCCTGACGCCTTCGACATTGTGGCCATGGCAGCGGGCAGCACAATGGCCGCCCCACAGCGCCATGCACTGGGTGCTGTGGCCCAGCTCCTACAGCATGCTGCTGCCGGCAAGACCTTCTCTGGGGAGAGCCAACACCTTCGAGTCCTGAATGGCTACCTGGAGGATATGCATCTCAAATTCAGGTCTTGGGTCCTGGCGCCCTGTCCCTCCCTCCACCCTCTCCGGCCTCTTCCACTCCCCACGGCTCACATTCTACTCCTCTCTAGAGTCTGAGGAAGAAGCTCCCGGAGACACAGGGAATGGGGGCCTCCCAGGGGACAGAGACCATCAAACTAGTTTGGATGGCACCCTGATGAAAGCAGGGCGGGGCTGAGACTGCCAGCAGACCCACCCCACTCTGACACACGCTCTCTCTGGGACAGGAAGTTCATCCACAGAGCCTGCCAGGTGCCGGAGCCAGAGGAGCGCTTCGCCATAGATGAGTACTCAGATATGGTGGCCGTGGCCAAACCTGTGGTGTACATCACTGTAGGGGAGCTGATCAGCACGCACAGGGTGAGGGGTCAGCCCCGGAGGGAAGATCCCTGACCCCAGAGCCAGGCCTGGCTCAACTCTGCACCCTCTTTCCTTCTACCATCCACAGCTCTTGCTGGAACACCAAGACCAACTGGCTCCAGATCACCAAGACCCCCTGCACCAGCTCCTGGAGGACCTTGGGGAGCCACCTTCTATCTCTGACCTCATGGGTGTGTGCCTTCTTGGATGGCTGTCAGCAGGCAGCTCATCATAGGGACTCCTCTGTTTTCCCTATGACTCTGAGGAACATAGACTCACAGCCTTGTATGGACAGACAGTACAGATATTGATGCTACAGGAGGCCAAGCTGTAACGATGACCAATGAAATCATATATAAGAAATGTGGGGGAGAGCCTCTTGGGTCCTACTGCGTCTAGACGTCTAGCTCTAGGGCTCTGGGATGAGAGGAACAAGAGGAGTGTGCCACGCAGCGGAAGGGCAGTGTTGGTGGGATGCCACGACCTCCACACTGCAAGCCCCAGCTGGCACCCAGGTTGAGATCGTACAGAAGCCCAGTGGTAGTGACTCAAGTCCTTTCGTAGGTGTCGAGGCTGAGGGCATGGGACAGTGGGGGTGGCTCCCCGAAAGGTGCTGTAACCCCGTCTGTAGGTGTCGATGCTGAGGGCATGGGACGGTGGGGGTGGGGTGGCTCCCCGAAAGGTGCTGTAACCCCATCTTCGTGTGCCTGTTCCACTCATCTCTCCACATCTCAGGTGAGAACACAGCCACAGATGGGCAGGTAGATCTGAGCAGGCTCGAAGTGTCCCTGACACTTACCAACAAGTTTGAAGGGCTGGAGGCAGATGCTGACCACACCAGCAACCAAAGCCTACTTCTGAGGTAGGTGTGGGGGCTCTCCCGGGGCTCTGTAGCCTGCTGCCTAGACGGTGGTTGCACTCAGAGAGGCCATCATACTTCTTATTGTCCTCTCACCCCCTGTTCTAAAAGTTCTCACTGAAGCCTGAGTCACATTTGCCTCGCTCAGAATAGAATCAGCCCTTCTTTGGCGACCTCTCAGCCTTTTCCTTGGAGTCACAGCTGAAGGCGTGGGGGTGACTGGGGTCCTGGAGCCGAAGGTGTCTGCAGATTGTACTACTGCCCAGACTCTTTGGTTTATTTTGCTTTTTGAGACAGAATCTCCCGTTGTGGCCTAGATTGTCTCTGTAGCCCAGGCTCACCTCAAACTCCAGTTAATCTTCCTATCTTAACTGAGATTGCAGACATGAGCCACCATGCCTGGCTCGACCAAATGCTTTTTAGGTTTGCATTTCACCTTGGGTACAGACTGCTTCAGGGGGCTCAGGTGGAAGCTTCCTCTAAAGTCCACAACTCAAAGTCACAGTCTGTGGGAGGTGGGAGGGACCAGGTTGTCATGCCTGCCCTAATGATGGTCAGACAAAAGCTCAGACTTCTTTCTCTAATTTACTTATTGTTGTGTGTGTGTGTGCATGATTGAGGGAAGTACATGTCATGGCACATGTGTGGAGATCAGGACAGCTCTGTAGAAGATTTCCATCTTCACATGGGTTCTGGGGATGGAACTCAGATCAGCACGTCTGCACAGCAAGTGCCTTTACCAACAGCCATCTTACCAGGCCAGGCCAGGAATTCAGTCTTCACACTTCTGCAAAAGCCAATCAGGAAGGACCACACAGCACTGGGCTGGTTACCTGGGCAGTTAGCGGCATCATCTCCCTAAGGCAGCTCCACCCTTCACACACTGTCAGCGAGACAGCCAGAGCGGCTCCTGTTCTGTCAGCAAAGGTCTTAGAGTTGGGAACACAAGCAGAAAGCTACCCAGAGGAGAATCAGTCATGGGGACCTACAGGAGGAGGTGAATACCTGGGCTAAGGAGGCCAGTTTGAGGGAAGGTGTTCTAGGGGGTAGCGCCTCCCCTGGACTGGCTCATTCTTCATCCTGGGCATCCCTAGCAGCCCTGACCTGGGGCAGGGTCCACTTACCCTTAGCTCTTTGGCCACCCCGTCCAGACCCCTCCTGAACCTCACCCTGTCTTCTTCCCTTTAGTACCAAACAGATGCTGGCTGACCTCATCCAGTTCCACCCTGGGGATTCCCTCGAGGAGATTCTGTCCTTGTCAGCTCCCAGAGAACAGGTGAGTAGCCAGGACAGCAGCACACAGCTAAGTCTTTAATTCTTCCCTCCCTTCGCACTGCCTGTTCCTCCCCCAGAGGCCACAGGCTGAGGGGACAGCCTAGGCAGCCCACTTCCTTCCCTGCACAGGGCTGGGATTAGGAGAGTGCTGAGGGACGGTCTGTCGAGAACCACATAAAGGAATTGCTCTGGGGAATGGTGGAGAAGGGTTTGGAGGCAGGAAAAGATGGCAGGTGGGCTCCCTGTTGGAATAAGACAACGCCAGGAGTTCCCTGAGTAAAGGTGGTAATGCCACACACAGGCATATCCCAAAACAGCTAGGCAAGCTCCAATAACCTCATGCCATAGAGCGCCTCAACAGGGTGGGAGGCTGGCAGCAGCAGTGTCTCCTTGACCTGTGTGTGTCCTTTGGAATCACTGTGTGTGATGGCCTGTGTGTTCTCCACCTCCCCACTCCCCGCCCCACCCCAGAAGCTAGATGCACAGGGTCCCAAGCTCTGGGGTTTGTCCTGATCTGAAGTAGGAGAGTAGGGCCCAGAACCTCCTCAGCATCTCTGCCCCCTCCCAGGAAGAGGCCCATCATCGGCTGATGTGTTGGCGCCAGGCTCGTGACACCCAGAAGCCGGAGTCACTTCGACGGCACCACTCAATGATGGCACACTCCCTCCTGCCACTGGCAGATAAGCAGCGATGTGTCCTGCGGAACCTGCGCCGCCTACAGGGCCTGGGGTTGGTCAGGGCCAGCGACTGCTATCAGGGACTGGTGGATGAGCTAGCCAAGGTGATAACCTAGGCCAGGACTACAGGTGACCTCATGTAGAGCCCCTGTACTGGCTTTCCAAAGGCAGACTTCTCCCTGGTAGTCGGGAAAGGAGCGCTGAGTTTGTCCCCTTGCACATTCTTTGGATTGTCTCTTAGATAAAACAGCTCTCACGGTTGCCTTTTCCTGGTGCTGGGAATGGAACACACGTGCTTGGCCGACACTCTACCCTAAGCCACTCCTGCCCCAGGCCCTTTCTGTTTCCTTAGCCATCTTCACAGTGAGCTAGTGAAGTGGTCTAGGCCTCAGGAAGGCTGCTGACATGCTTCCTGTCCCCACGTGCAGGACATCTGCAACCAGCGTAGGCAGCGGCAGCGGCGGAGGGCAGAGATACTGAGACTCCGGGCCACACTGAAGGGCCTCGAGACAAAAACCACCTTCTATGAGGAGCAGGGTGACTACTACAGCCAGTACATCCAGGCCTGCCTTGACCACCTGGCCCCCAAAGCCAAGTAGGTGTTGTGAACCCTGCCCTCACCAGAACCTGCACCTCTGCCTGTCATCCCCTGGCCCTGGCTAGGAATCACCCCCGGTCAGCACTGCGTGCCCCCCTTGCCTTCCACAGCAGGGAGGCTCCTCAGGGCCTGGCATCTTCCTGCCAGCCACCAAGAGCTGGCAGCCAGTATTGAAAGTTTTTCAGACAAAATCTCTTTCTTTTAAGCAGGAGTTCTGGGAAGGGGAAAAAGCAGTCGTGTCTTCATTACACAGCCGCCCAGCTCCTGGAAAAGGGCGTCTTGCTGGAAATTGAAGATCTCCCTGTCTCTCAGTATGTGTCTTTGGGGGGCAGAATGTCAGACCCTTTCTGTCTCGTGGGAGGGACAAGGCTGGGATGAAGCTCTGAGCAGGCACTGGGTTGGAAGGAGGAGGAAGTTGCTTGCTGAAAGAAGGTGGGGAGATGGAGCATCTTCAGGCAGACGGGAGAGCAGCAGACATGTTATAGCTCTGGTAAGAATGCTGGGAACGCTTCCTGGAGATGAGGCCAGCTTGGTAGGGCCAGGCAAGTGAAAAAAGATTAAACAGGCAGAAGTCAAACTGGGAGACGATAGAGAACAGGCTGCCAGCAATGGGACGCAGGAAGCCTGGGCTGTCAGTGGCACCCACCACTGCCCCAAGGAGCGGCTGCGGGAGTGGGGATAGGGCTCTGAAAAGAGGAGTCCCGTGCTGACTCCTTTTCCTGACAGCTTCAGGAACGTCATCTTTGACATCACTCCTGGAGATGAGGCGGGAAGGTTTGCGGTAAACGCCAAGTTCTTGGGTGTGGACATGGAGCAGTTTCAGCTCCACTACCAGGTGAGACCCTTCCACAGGTAGACCCAGGTCCGTGGGAGGTGGTCTGTAGTCCAAACACCTAAGAGATTGAGGCAAAGGATCAAAAGTTCAAGACCCAGGGCTGGTATGGTTCAGCTCACCATTCCACTTACCTAAAAAGCCTATGCTTGCATCTTTTTTTTTAATCGTTTATTTAACTTTATTTTATATGCATTGGTGTGAAGGTGTCAGATGCTCTGGAACTGAATCTTCAGACAGTTGTGAGCTGCCATGTGGGTGCTGGGAATTGAACCCGGGTCCTCGGGAAGAGCAGTCAGTGCTCTTAACCACTGAGCCATCTCTCCAGCCTCCTATGCTTGCATCTTGATCCCTAAGGCCTACCTACATGGTGGAGGCAGAGAAGAGACTCCTGCAGGATGTCCTCTGGCCTTGGTACATGTCCTGTGGTGTGTGACCACATATTTGCACACACACACACAAATAAAATTAAGTAAATAAATATAAAACAAAAAACATTTCTTTCTATTTCAAGGCCAAACTTGAAGTACAGTGTTAGAGGCCAGCCTGGGGAACTTAGTGAGACCTTGTTTCAAAGCAAAAGTAAAGCTGGGATGGTGGTGCACGCCTTTCATCCCAGCTCTGGGAGGCAGGGGCAGGTGAGGAGCTCCAGGCCAGCCATGACAGCATCGTGAGACCCTGTCTCAAAGTAAAGACACAGTAAAGATTAAAGTTAAAAAGAGCTGGGGATATAGCTCAGCGGTGAAGTACTCGCTTAGCATACGTGACGCCCTAGGTGTCAGCTCCTGGCACTGCCAGCTTTATAACCCCTAGTCACTCGGTAGCATTTACCCATTTTATAGGCTCAGAGGCTAAAAGGTTAAAAAGCTGACCTCAGCCCTAGCTAATATTCAGGGAAGCAGTGATTTCATTTTTATTTGCAACAAGGTTTGGTGACCTTGAATTATGATTTTCTTGCCCCCTCCCAAATGCTAGGATTACAGTATGCACTACCTTACCTGACTTATGGGGTACCAGGGCTTCACACATTTTAGGCAAGTACTATTCCAACTTACACCCCCAATCCTGTATTTTTAAAGTCTTGTTACTTTTACATGGGTTCTGAGAATCCAACTCAGGTCCTTGACAAGACTTTGCCAACTCTGTCATATCTGGCCCTATTTTCTGTTGCTGTTGTTGGGGCACTGGGGGCGTGTGTATGTGGGGGTGTACTCACATACACATGTGGAGGCCAGATGTTGACATTTCGAGTTTTCCTGTACCATTTTCAGTGGTTCGGCTAGCCAGGGAGCCTCTGGGGGTCTGCCTATCTCTGCCTCCCTGGACCAGGGTTATAGCACACACCTCCATGGGTGCTCTCTCTGCTCCCGGGACTGGGGTTATAGCACACACCTCCACGGGCGCTCTCTCTGCTCCCAGGACTGGGGTTATAGCACACACCTCCACGGGCACTCTCTCTGCTCCCGGGACTGGGGTTATAGCACACACCTCCACGGGCGCTCTCTCTGCTCCTGGGACTGGGGTTATAGCACACACCTCCACGGGCGCTCTCTCTGCTCCTGGGACTGGGGTTATAGCACACACCTCCACGGGCGCTGAAGACCCACACACAGCCCTCACTCACATGCACCTTCTCTGCTGAGCCACACTCTTAGCCCCCTTATTTTTTTAAAGGTATATTTGATTTCTGAGTGGGTGGATGAGTGCCTACACCTAGGTGTGTGCCAAGTCCAGAAAGGGGCATCAGATGCCTTGCGGCAGGAGGTATAGACGTTTATTCAACACAGGTGCCAGGATCTGAGTCTGCTCCTCACAGCTAGACAGCAAGTGCTCTCGTCCCTGAGCCATCTTTTCAGTCCAGATTTGGTTGGTTTGCTTGTTTGTTGAGGCAGAATCTCCCTTTGTAGGTCAAGCTGGTCTTCAACTCAAGGCAACCTCCTGTCTCAGCCTCCCAACTTTACAGGGTTTGCCACCACATCCAGTGAATCAGTGGTTTTAATCTTATTTATTTGCTTTTATTATTGTTGTTTTCTCAAGACAGGGTTTCTCTGTGTAGCCCTGACTATCCTGGAACTCACTCTGTAAACCAGGCTGACTTCAAATGCACAGAGATTCTCCTGCCTTTGCCTTCTGAGCTCTGGGATTAAAGGTGTGTGCCAACACTGCCCGGCTTTTTAGCCTTATTTTTTTAAGACAGGGTTTCATTCTATAGCTCAGGCCTCAGACATACAGAGCTTCGCCTTCTCTGCCTCACAAGTGCTAGAATCACATTCTTGCACTGTCATGCCCAGCCTTACTTTTGATTCTTGTATTCGTATATGCACACTCATTCAGATGTCCAGAGGGGCTAAAAGAGGGTATTGGATCCCCTGGAACTGGGGTTACAGGCGGTTATGAGCCACCTGATGTGGCTGCTGGGTGTCAAACCCAGGTCTTCTGCGTGAGTAGCAAGTGCTAGTAAGTGCTGAGGATCTGTCCAGACCTATTTATTGGTTTTTGTTTGTTTTTGAGAAAGGGCCTATTCTATAGCCCAAGCTGGCTTAGCTTCTGCCACTGCCCTCTTGCCTCCCCCCCCACACACACATGCGGGAGCTGCAGGTGCCAGCCTTCAGTGCAAGTCTCTGTTATTTGTGAATACGAAACCTGGGTTCAAGCCCTGGCTCCACTTGGCTTAGCATTTGGTTAAATCACTGCGCCTGTTTTTCTCATTTGTAGAGTGGGCTTTCCACACCCTGCTTCAGTGGCCAGTGCTCCTGGCAGCTGTAAGGCTTCATGACAAGTGCTTTTATAGGCTGTGCTACTCCCAGAAGCTCGTAAACCCCCTCCCTGTTCCTTCCCTCCTAGGACTTGCTGCAGCTGCAATACGAGGGTGTGGCTGTCATGAAGCTCTTTAACAAAGCCAAAGTCAATGTCAACCTTCTCATCTTCCTCCTCAACAAGAAGTTCCTTCGGAAGTGATGGAGGCCGTGGAGCTGCCCAGCCCGGCCTCTTAGCTGATTGACTGCTATGCTTTAACGTTAACCTGTTGTGCTTCCTGCAGACCAGGCTCAGGCCTGCCTGTGACTCGCGGTTCTTGACCCTTGCCTGCAAACGCTGGTGTTTCTACCCCGCTGAAGTAGGCCTTGCTTCCAGGTCCAGCCGTGTGGCTTTCCCGACATACGCGGCCCCATCCCTGTGAACTAGAAACCTGCACTCCTTCCTGGAAAGGCTCTCCGTATTGTGCTGCAGCCCTGCCCTGCAGCAGTCTCCCTTCCTTCCCACAGACCCCAAAGCCATGGCCTCCCCTTAGTAAGCCCTGGGCATTACTGCCTGCTACAGCCCAGGACCCTCTGTGCTGTGCCCTCAACAACCTCTAGCCTTTCACCCCGTCAGGACTTGGGTGCAGCATTTACTGGCGTCCTCCGTGGCAGCAAGGTGCACATCAATGATGGTCTGTTTCTTGTGTGTGTCACTGGGGTCTCTGCACCCTGAGTCATGGTGTCACTTCTCACTTCTGAACTCCTTCTCATTCCTCACTTTAAACTAAAGCCCATTCCATTTTCCTCTCCCTATATTCAAGTCTCTTGGCGTTGGAGCAGGGAGGCTCCTGGCTCCCGCTGAAGAACTCATTGTCTCGGCAGGACAAAGCTCGTCACCTCAGAGCTGGCTTCAGGTGGCTCCATAGATCTGTAGGCCTGCCTTTGCCCCTCTCTGTCTACCCCTCTCCTTCCAGCTTCTTGCCCTTTCTGCCCCCTAGATTTTCCTGCCAATAAAACCAATTGTTAGCCCACATCTGTTAACCCCTCTGTTATCTCCTGAAGTACAGCTCTCACATTTTGGGGTACAGTTTCAGAGCCTTTTCCTGCCCTGGGCACATGCCCACTGCCTCCTGCTCAGGCTTGTGCAGTGCGGGATGAGGCATCTCGCTCACTCCCGTCACCCAGGGGACAGGGAGAGGGAAGAAATGCTCAGGTGATTTTGTTTCCATTGCCACTCTAAGAGCTCAGGCCAGGAGAGCCCAGTCCAGACTCCATGGCCACTTTACACAGCTCTCAGCTGTGCCATGCCGAGGCCTGACCACAGCTCCTTACATCCAAGTCCCCTTCCCATGCTTTCAGGACGCCGCTGGGGCCTGTGGGGAAGAGGATAATGCACACCTGCCTGACACTTGAACTCCACAGCGTCAACTGGGCACCCCGCCTTTTCCTGGCACAGCCTTCCTGCCTCTACTCCACTTGGTATCTGTCTTGCTGTCACATTCAATCTCACTCAAAGCCTCTTCCCCCTTGACATGTCACAGTAAAAACTTCAAGTGCTGCCTTGCTCAGGTGACAGTGACATACACCAGAATCCTAGTTTCCACACACACAGTCATTAAATATCTCACACTCATCAAGTAGCTCTGACAATGTCCTGCTCACACACACACAAATCACACACTCAGCCACACGCACCACTGCTGTGTGCGCGCGCACACACAAATCACGCGCTCAGCCACACGCACCACTGCTATGTGCACGCGCACACACAAATCCACACGCACCACTGCTCTGTGCGCGCGCACACACACACACCACATAGAGAAATGCCTCAATAGCTATGCTGTAAGGTCAGCCCAGGACTCCATCAGTACAGTCCCTGGATCCATCCTGGAGACACACCAGTCTCATCGCTGCCACACTCCACATGGTAACAATCCCTAATAAGCTCAACATAATCAATGTCCTTGCCCACTGTGAGGGCCCAATTTGTGGCACAGTAGTGCTGGGTTTAAAGGCGTGTGCCACCACTGCCTGGCTCTAAGCCCTGTCTTATGCCCTATGCAGATACTGTTTGGTTTTTTTTTAAGACTTGTTTTTTTGGCCTTGAATTTGTAATCGTTCTGCCTTAGCCTCTCCAGTGTTGAGGGTGAGGAAGCTCACTTAAAGTAGTTCATGGTATCTAAGTGAAAAACAAAAAACTGTAGAACTCTTAGAAGAAAACAGACTGAGCTAGGGCGCAGTAAGTAGCGAGCCTGCCTAGAAAACACAAAGTTCTAGGTTTGATTTCCTGCACAGCACGAAACCAGGTGTGGTGTGATGTGCACCTGTAACCCCAGCACTTTGAAGGCAGAAGATCACGTTTGTGTTGAGTGCATGTCAAGTGCAAAGCCTGGAATGCACAAGACCCTGATGTGTGTGCATGTCACACATGCGTGCACACACACACACACACACACACATAAGTGTAGTGATAGGAGCGGCTGGGCTGTGTCCACATGGCTAGCTTATGCCCTGAAATAATTACATGGAAACTGTATTCTTTTAAACACTGCCTGACCCAGCCTCTTATTGGCTAGCTCTTACATATTGTTCTAACCCATTTCTAATATTCTGTGTAGCCCACGAAGTGGCTTACCTGGGAAGATCTTAACCTGCATCTGTCTGGAGTGGGAGAACCATGGTGACTCCCTGACTCAGCTTTCTTTCTCCCAGCATTCTGTTCTGTTTACTCCACCCACCTAAGGGTTGGCCTATCAAATGGGCCTAGGCAGTTTCTTTATTAATAAGAAATCACTCCCACATCATTTCCCCTTTTTCTGTTTAATAATGGGCCAGGCAGTGTTTAAAAGAATACAGTTTCCATGTAATTATTTCGGGGCATAAGCTAGCCATGCGGGTGGCCTGGTGCCGGGAATGTAGCCTCGCCGGTCTTACTACTACAGAGTGGCGCCCAGACGTGATGGGCTAAATCCACTTCAAAACCTGAGAGGGCTTAAAAATAAGGGAGAGAGAGTTTAACACAGATTTTTGCTGTTTTTTGGTAGCGTGCTGTAGAGAGATTTCCTGATCCGGCAACAGCAACAGAAAAAAAGCTGCGTCATTTTAAAGTGCGGCTTCCTGGGACTGTGCCGCCAGTGCAAACTCTGGCTTTAAAGCATTTCAACGGCTTTTATGGGACTGGATGTTTCTGTTCCCACTTGGGATCGGAAGGAGAGTGCTCTGAGACGGTGCCAATGGCTCAGCGCTCCCCACTTGCACCTGGGCAGACGGCAAAATCAGGCTTAGGCAGGCAGAAGAGCATGGCGGATTCCTGCGGCCTTACAGAAATGTGTTTTCAGACTGAGCATTGCTCTGTGTGTCAGATTTTGCTGTAACTTGGATGAAAAGAGTTTCTGTGCTGCATGCTCAGTCTCAGAGTTAAACTGCCGACTGCGGCGCCAATGTGGACTTGCTGTGTGCCTGGAACTGTGCTCAGCTCAGGGGCACCAAATGGATCTGAGACAGGAGCGGCCTCTCCATGCTGAACTGTGCTGACCTCAGGCAGGAACTACCATAATTACTGTAATAACAGTGCAGTTAAGGTTTCAACTGGGCAGGACACAGACGGTACCGTATTACCTGTACACGGTGCAACTTAAGTTTTTAAGAACTGCTTAACATTTTAAGAAATGCTCCTGGATAGTAAAAAAAATGTTACAGATTCACAATAAAACAGATTCAGACATAAAAGACCACACTGTTAGATGAATGTACGTAGGCTTGAGAGAGAGAAGAAAAAAAATATAGAGAATAAAGTTAATGGTTTAAAAAAAAAGGATAAAGTCTTTAAAGAGACAGTTCAAATAGCTATAGATTAAGAGAAATAAAAAAAATAAGCCACATAAAAATGGAAAATTCACGGAGAGTCTGGATTCTTTGCATTATTGTGTTTTCTTTAAAATTTTTGACTGTGAAGGAGCTAAGTACAGAGAGACATTTCATTATATGGGCTGCTAAGCTGAACCTGCACATATGTTCTAAAGGTATCTTGACTTCAGAATTTGGGTCTAAGGATATGATGCTTTGGAGAGGGTCTTCTTTTGTTTTCACAGAGGACCAGACCCTGTGGATTTCTTCTATTCCAATTTGGTATGATAGACCACGCCCTCCTGAAAGGTTGCTATAAACACCCTCAAAAAAATTAGTTCACTCAACTGCCAACTGAGATGACCCTGGCACACAGGTTATACCATGAAAGACCTAATTAACGA